GAATTGTCACTCTCATAAAAAAAAACCAGGGACGTTATGTGAAAAACACCTGGTCCAAACTGAGCGGTGATAAAAGTTCTAAACGAACTGTCACTCTCGTAAACAAAACACAGGGGCGTTATGTGAAAAACACTTGGTCCAAATCGAGCGGTGATAAAAGTTCTAAATGAACTGTCACTCTCGTAAACAAAACCCAGGGACGTTATGTGAAAAACAACTGGTCCAAACCGAGCGGTGATAAAAGTTCTAAACGAACTTCACTCTCGTTAGCAAAACCTAGGGACGTTATCTAAAAAACTCCTGGTCCAAACCGAGCGGTGATAAAAGTTCTAAACAAAATGTCACTCTCGTAAACAAAAACCCGGGACGTTATGTTAAAAACACCTGGTCTAAACCAAGCGGTGATAAAAGTTCTCAATGAATTGTCACTCTCGTCACCAAAACCCATGAACGTTATCTAAAAAACACCTGGTCAAAGGCGAACGGTAAAGTCCGTTCCCTAGGAAGAACTCCTAGGTCAAAGTCAAAGCTAAGAGGTAAAGCCCTCTCGCTAGGAAGTTCTCCACGAACTCCTAGTGCAAAGTTGAACGATAAAGCTCGTTCTCTAGGAAGAACTCCTAGGTCAAAGTCAAAGCAAAGAGGTAAAGCCCTCTCGCTATGAAGTTCTCTAGGAACTCCTAGTACAAAGACGAACGATAAAGCTCGTTCTCTAGGAAGAACTCCTACGTCAAAGTCGAACGGTCATTCACACCACAATCACCCAGAAACTTTGGATGGTAGAAGCGAGTGGGACGATCATTATCGACCATTCGCAGTCGAACGGTCTAGATTAATGGTATAACCATCTATTTTCTTTTAATTCGACTATTTTTCCTTCTTGGTATAGGTAAACAAAAAATACAGTCTCCCTCGTACTCATAAGTCCTATAATTAATCAAGGCTAAAGCCGAACGATTACACTCGGACTTGGGGGGCATGATGTATCGTATGAAATATGGACCAAGTGGTTATTGAATAAGGTCGATCGGTCTATCCGCCATTGGTCGATCGGTCTATCCGCCATTGGTCAACCTGGTCAAATGGTTTGGGTCGTAATTGGACCTATAGTGCTAATAAGCTACTTCAAATGGTAATTGGGCTAGCACTTAAGTTGTTACTGGGCCAATAGTCCAGTGGATGATAAAATAATTAAAGATATCTAGTTAATGATATTTGATAAACCAAATCCAAAATATTTGGTTGAAGATATTGATAAAGTCGTTTATGGGTAACTAACCGGATCTCTAGGTAAGGTTGTTTTTATCTATGAAACACTTATAAATACATTGACAGGGCCAAAAGCCAGGTACGTTCCACTTACGCATTGTTCACTCTCCACTATTCTCAAATACTCAAAAGTGATAACCATTCACTGAGTATTTGATTAAGAGTTAAAGCTCTTCAACAACACGCCTAACTTGAGCATCAGAGTACCTTGTACAGGTACATCCCCCTTGTGAAGAAAGAGATTGATCGGTCAGCGGCAGGAGTTTGAAGGTGACCGAGCGGTCCACACGGAAGACCGAGCGGTCCAAGCAAAAGGAAGGCAGGCAATCCAAGCATTCGGACACAAGAAAGACGAATGTGCGGTCTATATTGTGGGAAAGCGAGTTTTCGGTCTACATTGCAGAAGAGTGAGCAATCGGAAAGCAAGCGAAAAAGTTATCCAAAAGTCGTAAAGTCACGTGTCTTAGTCCCACGAAATATCTACCGAAACACTAATGATTATGACTTAATTAAGGGTAAAACTTTTTAAAACTTTTTGAAATCTCTACTATGCTTGCTCGGAATTTCGTAGTCTACCCTTTGAAGAATATTAATGATCAAGAAGTATATTAATTTTGATATATTAAAAAAGTTATTAATATATATTAAAATATCAAAATTAGTGTATATAAATGTTTTGAAAACATAATAGAGGGATAAAAAAATCAGTCGAAAATTCAAATTCCAAAATTATGTAATAAACATATTATTTATGGAAGGTGTTACTTTAAAATTGTGACTATAGTTAAATGTACAAGTTTACTCACAATAAATATTAATTACATATTTGCATTAATATTGGTTGTAGCCTATATATGTGACTTTAATTGTGTTCCCAATTAGTTTAAGTTATTTCTTGCAAGGTATAACCTTTGGCACCGTCCATGTCAATTAAGTCAATTTAATGGGGCCATTAGAAACTAATTGAAAATTATAGGATAATTAAAAAATAGGAGTTTACCCTAATGTTGATGAATTCGAATTTATTCAACGAAAACCATCAAGAAGGACGTGGTGTGATTTCCACCCTTTTCCGCACTTTAAGCGATTTAAAAAGATATTTTCATCAACTCTTCAACAATTAATCTTTGTATGAAAACATTTCGAGAAAATTCTCAAATTTTAAGGGTAAAAATTATAAACATTCTTAAAATATACGTGCTGGAATTTTTTGTGCCACGTTGATGTAAGTTACTGTCGATGAATTTTACTATAACTTATTTAATACAAAAGTTTCATTATTATTTAGTTGAAACTTAAATTATGATAAAAATATATATACGTATACTAAGGTCATTATCCATGATAAATTTATCCCTTCAAGTGTGTTACATGTTTATGTAAATATATATTCTTAACATGTACAAATAACATTATAATTATTAAATAATTAATATAGTAAAGAAAAGAAGTACATAAAAATATTTAAAATAATTGATGTGAAAAAGTTCATAAATCAAAATTTAAATATAAAAAAATATTCACTCATGTCATTTATTTGATACATATATCCAATTATTAAAAAAACTTAATTAAATTTTTAATATTGACTAGTAATCAGATACTCTCAAACACTCATTTTTCAAAAGTATCTTTCTGTCTTTTTATCTAGCGTAGAGATGTGCATACATTATTTTCATTTTTCAATTTATGCATATGGGAAGAGCTAACAACTCACTATAAATATTCTAGAGCATTTATTTTTGTTATTATAGTTATAATTTATTAAAAGTCAGAAAATCATAATTAAAAGAAAGAAAAAAAAAGTGATAAACCCCCCTTTTTTTTTTGGTGTTTTTCATTAACTTTTAATTCGTTAGAGTGTTTTGGAGGGTGTATTTCTAGCATTTCATCTAAAGGTTTTTCACTAATATAATCAATGTACTAGTGACATGGTTTTCTCCTCACCAATGAAAACATGAAGAAATATATATATATATATATATATATATATATATATATATATATTTAAAATATGACTTTTTTATGAGCGGTTCTTCCTACACCTCACCAACTTCATCCTGCACCTTCCATTCTTTTCTAATTCCAACTGTACCCATATTATTTATTTTGATTATGTAAAAAGCTGACCCATTTACTACAAAAACCACTACACAGAGAAACATTCCTCTGTCGCATCTCAGTTTTGAAACCCTACACCCCTTCATGGAGTTTTTCGCACTCCTCCCGTGCTCCCCTCCTGTCTCCTTTTTCACCATTTTTGTTAACGAGGTGAGCGCTCCTTCCAGTCTTTCGTGTTGGTGTCGTGGTGAGCAGCTATCTTCTTCTCCGACATTTCAGTACATCAAGCTTAGCTTTTTCTGGATTAGTTCTTTTGATCCCTTACTCTTAGATATTATGATGCATGGATTGGTGTGGGAAGTGTGGAACCGTAATTCGAAGTGTGCAACCATTGAACCACACTTCGAAGTGTGGTTTAGGTTTTTAAGATGCACAGTACAACCACAGTTCGAAGTGCGCCACCATTGAACCATACTTCGAAGTGTGGTTAATTTTTTTAAGCTGCACAGTAAAACCACAGTTCAAAGTGCGCCACCATTGAACCACACTTCGAAGTGTGGTTAAGGTTTTTAAAATGCGCAGTGAAACCGCAGATTGAAGTGTGCCACCAATGAACCACAGTTCGAAGTGCGGTTACGGTGTTTAAATATTAAACCAAGAGTTGTGACTACTTCGAGTTTTCTGTGACCACCTTCTTCTCGTCCAATATCCACAATACCACCAACACGCAGCACAACCACTACACTCTATAACCTCTCAACTCTCAACCCAGAAAAAAATCAAACATTGAAAATGTTAGTATCACGTGCAAGTGGAAAAACTGCAAAAGAGAAAGGAGGTGCATGCATACTAGAGTTTATACATAAATTGGTGGTTAGGAGGATGATTGACAGTTAGGACATTATTAAGTCATTATTAATTATGTTTTGACTTTAATCAATGAAGGACAAATATGTAAATTTGGAGGTGCATGGTGAAATAGGTGAGGTACAAGGAGAATCACTCCTTTTTTATTGTTTGGATCACAATTGGCTTCGATTCTAAGTGATGTTATTCAACATAATAGAAATATGAATTTTTAGTTAAAGTCTAAGTGTTTGGTCATTAAAGTTAATCATTATATACATTTAAAATATTATTCATTTTGAAAATTAGAAATTTATCACAGATTTATGTTTAAAGATATCTCATATTATAGAATAGATATTTAGACTATTTTAAACATCTACTTCTAAACAATATAAAATTATTATATACATAAAAAATATTTACTAATTTTAACTTTTGTAAAAATATTTTTGTGCATCCTTTTATTTATATATATCCGTGGTCAACATTTGAAAACGGTTTTTTTGGATAAAATAATTTATTGAAGAAAGAAATTAGTGTTTAGAAATGTGTATTGATTGGTAGTTTTTTATATTTTGGTGTATTGTCAATGCTGAGAATTTAGAAGTCAGACGTGTGTCTCTAATAAAAGTTGATAAAGAAGACTATGTCTCAAACAACTGTCTGTGCTATTTTGTTGGGTGGTTTCCCTATGAGAAAGTGACACGTGGAGAGTGTTACGCACCATCTTACCTCAGTTCCAAAATATTCAATATTAATTAGTATTTGAATCCCTCCACATAACATAATATTTGGTCTTAGTCCAAACCATTTTTGTTGCCGAGTCCATTGCATCTCATTATCTCTGACTTCAACCTCTCAGAATCAAACCCTTCTCTTTCTCTCTTCACATCTTCCTTTATCAATTCATTGCCAGAACTATATAGGACTCTTCTTTCATACTCTTTCTTTCTATCTTCTTCATTAATGCACCCTTTTCTCATTCTATAACCATACTCACTTACACCCACAACATGGAAGAAGCTACCTCCAATCATGACTCTGATCTTCCACCAGTCACACATTCTTCTCCAATCATCTTCTTTGATGGCAAAACACTAGCCATGGATGAGATGGATTTCTTTGCAAACAACAACAACAACAGAAAGAACAAAAATGTATTTCCCGATGATCACGAAATGCTGCACCAAATGGAGCTTCATGTCGATGTACCAAACTCTTTCAATTATTTCTTCTCCTTTGTATTATCTATATAAATCTTATGCTTCTAATATGTTGTGATTTGCAGACTAGTTTAGATCTCCTTACAAAGACTTCTCCTACCAATAGATCAACTGTGGGAGAAGGATCATCGGAAGCAAGGGGGAATGAAAGAGATAATAAGGTACTTGTCTTTCTGTCAATGTATGTGTTTCTTCTTAAAGTTTTTCAAACGTTGGCTTTTGAGATCAAAGAATTTAGATATGCAACATGATTTATGTGTGTTTACTTACAAATTCCCTTTTCTGGGTTCACACAGTTTGCAGCTATGCTAGCTGAATTGCACCACATGAATGCTGAAAATCAACGCTTGAGAGATGAGGTTGATAAGGTGAACGATAAGTACCATGCTTTACACAATCAACTTATCAAACAGATAGAGAAACAACGTAAGAATGAGGTAATCTGCTTTTTTCTAATTATATATCTATTAATTAAAATTAGTTATTCTGTAGAACTATTATTAAATTGCAACAAAATGAATGGTAAAGAGCAAAGACGAAACACTTTTGCTCATGAATTTTGACAAAATCTCGTTCTTTCTCTTGTTTAAATCGATATAATCAACTCATGTTAAATTATTTTTTTTATGTAATTCTCTTGAATGATGATTTGTAGGTATTAATCGTAGTAATTAACAGTGGAAGGTTTTAATCTCCGTTTTATTTAGGATAAAATTACACAATCCAACATCTGTTCAATTGGGTTTTAACAACTTCCGAGTTTCTTTGAATTTTCTTTACTGGTGCTACTGTTATATTCTACCCTACAATAGGGCAATTATATATATAATGGTTTTGGTTTTGGGATATAAGAGTGCATATATAAACCTGAACTCACACCCCATTAGAAGGATTTCATGCAGTGGCTACCATAATAAACTCTCTGAAATGTGGTTTCTATGAAGGGTAAGAAAGCTGATATGATTCCGAGGCCATTCTTGGATATTGGAGTTGCTATGAAGGAAGAGAATTCGCAGCAATATTCGAAGGGAAAACTACAAGAGAGCAAAAACAAGATCGACTTGATTGAGAGCAAGAAACAGAAGATTTACACTAATAAAGATGTTGCTGAGTTAGAGACATCTGAGAAAGCTATTCCAAGGTGGCTCTCAAACGAAGTCTCAAGATCGAGTTCTTTCAAGGATGTTGATGAAGCGTCAGAAACCATGTCAATGATCAAGAAAGCTCGTGTATCAGTTCGAGCAAGATCTGTTTCTTCTATGGTTAGTGTATAATCTGAGTTATGAAGTCTGCATGTAGAAAGTTTTTAATGATGTTATTATAAGCATTAGATACACAGTTTCAAAAGAAAGAAAAAAATGGAATAGGCTTAAGTTGAAAATAGGTCGTGTATGTATTAATATATTGTTGAAAATAATGGTTTAAATGATTATTTGTTTTCATGAATTGGTGTCAGATTTCTGATGGATGTCAATGGAGAAAGTATGGGCAGAAGATGGCTAAAGGGAACCCATGTCCAAGAGCTTATTATCGTTGTTCAATGGGGACTGGTTGCCCAGTTCGGAAACAAGTATATACAATCTACTGTTTATATATATCTACTTACTTTTGTTATGGAAATAATTACTGTTAGATCAAATTGTAAGATGATAACAGAAAGATCAAAGATTATCTGTATGATGAGGTTGCATGAATTAACTATTGGCCAAATGCTCCATTAAAGGTGCAAAGGAGTGCAGAAGATCAAAGTGTGTTGATCACAACATATGAAGGACAGCATAATCATGTACTTCCTCCAGCTGCCAAACCAATGGCATCCACCACATCTGCAGCTGCATCAATGCTTCTTTCAGGATCAATGCCAAGCTCAGATGGCCTTCTACACCCAAACATTTTAGAAAGTGCAACGCTTCCATTTTCACATAACTTAGCAACCCTCTCAGCTTCAGCTCCATTTCCAACTATCACTTTGGATCTCACTCAAACTCCCACCAATAATATTAATACTTCCTCACAACAAGATCCACCACAGGATTACCAACTCAGCCTACTTTCCCCACTTTTGGCACCAAATTTTTTTCACCAGAGTAAGCTTTCTACCTTACATGCCTCTCAGGGAACAGAAACTGCTTCATTTGCTGACACAGTAAATGCAGCAACAGCTGCTATAACCACAGACCCCAAGTTCAGTGCAGCTCTTATGGCAGCCATAACATCTATCATTGGAAGTTCACATCCAGTGGAGACTCAGCATTGCAATAACAAACAAGACTAGTTAATTGCAACTGTTAGTGTTTTGGAACAATGCAGTGGATCATTTTCATATTGTGCAAGGTAGAAATTGAATTTTATGGCATTGCTATGCATTTGAAAAAATTGATAAAAAAAGAAAAGGTGAGCATTTCATCAGAAGGCTAATTAATGATTACTGAGACCTTGTCAGTCCAAGACCTATGAAGCACTGCTGAATGGCTTTTTGAAGAAATCATCTTTTATGAAAATCACTTTCTGATGATTGGCAAGTGTTCTGATACTGCTCATGCTCTCAACATATTCAAAGACACTTCTTTTTAGTCATTAGAAAGGTGTCACATTGACATTCAGAAAATTTTCTAAGTGAAATATCAGAGACAAGACTTTAATGTACAATTGACATCTTCAAATGTTCAAATTGACTGTAAACTTCAACAGTCAAATTTAGATATTTGTCATGAGAGAAGAGTATTGATGTACTGTGAATTGTACAAGAGAGTGACTTGAGGGAGGGTTGAATAACTTTTTTGTTTTCTTATGCCTTTTTCTGCACAAAATATTGGAAATAATTTCTGATTTAGTTTTCTCAAGCTGATTCTCTACAATCAGAAGTTGATTAGCAGCAAGAAAACCTTTCTTACACTTGAATGAAAATTAATACAAGCAACTACAGTAATTCTAAATGTTGATACACAACTTAGAGGGGTGGTTTGTAAAAGGTTAGCTTCTGGTACACATCAGAAACTGATGCTTCTCTTATAATAGTTGTACTATGCATCTGAATTATGAGAAAAGTTTTTGCAATATATTAGTAGTTAGTACAGTTTAAAAGTAATGCTTTTAAAACAGAGAATTTGTAATGAGCAGCAAACTAGAATGTGAAGCAAGAAAGAAAGATACCGCACTCAATTTTTATCTCTCACGTTTCTGTCAACAAAATTAATTTTTTTCAACAACCCTTGACAATTTCTGTCGGTGAATGATTTCCCATTTCTTAATCTCGTTTGCATTCAATAATTCTACTGGACTCTGTGATTTTGGGTCTTGGGCAGTTTTGCTTCTGTTCAAAGATTGAAACTTTCTGTGAACACGTAGGTGGTAAAAGGTTTGGATCGATGATCACTAGCTTCTTGTTTGTTATGGTGGAGTTTTTTAGCTGGTTTTAGTGTTTTGGTCAGAAAAAATTGTCTTGCACCAGTTCAGTGTAAACTTGAAAATGATAAGATTTACGTGCAATTAGCCACACAACACAACCATCCAGCATACTTGTTGATCTAAGTTTCCTATTTTTATTGTAGGGATGTTGATTGAAATCTTCAGAACAGATTTGTTGATAAGTTTAGTGTCTTCTGTTAATGCTTTAATTTTACAACAGATGGAAATTGAGGAGAGGTTCAGAAGCGTGAAACTGCAAATATGATATACACCAAAGATTTTATATTTTAAAGAATAAAAAGAAGGAAAAAATAGGAAAGGATAATGTCAATGGAAAAATAATTTAATGTTGGTAAAAAATTTCCTAAGAAATTGTCAGATGTGACACCTAAAGAAGCAAGCTTTCTTTCTTTTGGCAAAGGCTCTCTCCGTGGCTTTAAAAGTCATATTCTTTTCAATGTGAAAAGGCAAAATGGTATCAAGTTGTCTCAGTCGTTCAATTTTGGTTTGCCAGAGAAGGCAAATTCCTCTCTGAATAAGGATGATTACAACAAAACTAGTGACAGAACAAAACAAAGTGTACCACTGACTGATATATTCTTGAACGAGATAGATTCTAGGAAAAAATCAATCTGTGTCAGAAAGAATCAAATCAAAGTTTCCATAGAAAATCTCATCACCAAGAATCAATCCTTAACAAAGTTAGTGGACACAACAGCAGCTATCATCTGTATCAACCAATGTTGGTATATGTTTAGATAATATAAATGATCCTAAAGAGAATGATTTTGAATATTTTCACTCATATATTTTATATTTTCCTTATATCTATTTATAATAATCTAATCTTTCAAAAAAAAAAATAACTGAAATAAAAACTAGAAGATTCTACAGATAATTTTTCTTCTGACCATAAAGGTTTTCTTCTAATTACAACACTCTTTCTCAAGTTGTTAAATGAATATCAATCATTCTCAACTTGCTTACAAAATCTTGAAATCTATCCTGAGGGAGTCCTTTTGAAAAAGTATCTATTATCTGAAATTTGGTAGAAACATGAGATATAATCACAAAGCCTCCATCTAGATTATCTTTGATAAAATGTTTATCAATCTCATGGTGTTTGATTATATCATGTTGTACTAGATTATGGACAATGCTTATAGCAGACTTATTGTCAAAGAATAGTTGCACAGGGTTGTCCACCTTGACTTTAAGATAATCCAAAATGATTTTCATCAAGAGTCCTTCACACATTCCATAAGTAAGATCTTGGAATTCAGCTTCTACACTAGAACGAGATTAAGTATAGGAAAAACACTAAAAAGGAGGAGCGAGGGGAGGAGGGGTGGTTGAATAGTGTTTTAAAAAAATTTTGTAAGTAAATGCTTTAGTTAGGCATATGCAAATATTATAGAGAGGTTAGGAAAACATTAAGTAATGACACGAGAACTTTTATATTGGTTCCTTCATCCTAAACTATGTCCAGTCTCCCTTAAGAACTCTTAAGGGGTTTCACTAATCTTATCTAAGATTACAATTGAGTTTAACCCACTCTAGATTGCTAGTATAATTAAATCATTCATGGTTCTCTTAGTTAACCTGACTAGTTGAGTATTCTAAACCACTCCCGGTTCCCCTAGTCAACCTAACTATTGAGTATTCTTAAACGACTATTGGTTCCCCTAGTTAACCTGACTAGTTGAGTATTATAAATCACTCCTGGTTCTCCTAGTCAACATGACTAGTTGAGTATTCTAAACCACTACTGGTTCCTCTAGTCAACTTGACAAGTCTGAGTTTACCCACTTCTAATTGTTAGTATTACAACCACTGCTGGTATCAAACTAAGTATTGTCAATCACTCCTAGTTCCTTAGTCAATCCTAATTAGAACATTTAGCTCAATACAATGATTTAATACAAACACATTCAGTGTTTGTTTACAAATACCGATTCAAATAACTGTCAATGAAAGGATAAGTACAACCCAATACAATATGTAAACGTATGAGATTCTTTCTCTTAGGTTCAAGAGCATCAGACGATATATGCTTGAGGTAGAGTAGAGACGATGTTTAATGATTTTTCTTGAGCATGTTCTCTCTCTCCTTTTCTCTTTTCTATTTTCACATTTTTTCAACTTCAACAACATCTTCTCTTCAGTTAATCTTCTTTATATAACCTCCTTAAGAAATGACGGTTGGACACAAAGTTAACTTCTGGATAGACTTAATATCCTCTTTAGATAATAGGTCAGACTCAGGTCTACATTGTAGTGTGACAATGCTTTATTAGTGCTTTTATTCAAATGTAGATTGTACAACCTTTTTAATGCAAAACTTAAGGAAACATCCTAAGAATGTCTTCTTATCTCTTAGCATATTGTTGTCCTTTGTTTAGTGCTTCTTAAAAAGCTTTTAGTATTAACATATGATGCACAGATAACAAGAACAAAACATGCAAGTAGAGAGACACTCTTTCATACAACAATAAATGTCTTAAACGTTTATGATCGTTAAGCACGTTTTGTGCTCAAAACATTTTTGTCACATGTCAACATGCTTTGACAAATGCATTCTTTGAAGGAAAAGTGTTTGGTATGTTATGATATGATTTTTAAGATTTTTGTTTCATAACCCCATCTAGGCATAAATATATCGCCTAACAATTTTAGCATAGTTTGAAGTTCATATGCTTTATCATCTTGTTTAAGTGCAATGATGATTAAACACTCTATTAAGAGTTATATAGTGTTTGACACTTTACGTCTCAAGCCTTAGGCATGTTAGAGATGTTAGAGTTTGAAATCTTGTTATGTAATCACCAATGAAGCTTGATTTCTCCAAGAAAGATTATTTAAGAGCACCTGTGTTCAAAACTCAAAAAATGTGTTAGTATATGAAAATTAGAACGTTAAAGAATCAGGTCTCAAGTTAGGTTTATATAGAAAATTTAAATCCTGACGCAGTTTAATCGGTTATGTTATTTGCATAATCTATTATGTTTTTTTCTCTGTTTTAACAGATTACCTCATCTGTATAATCGATTAATGGAACTTTTATGCCTATAACTGCTTCTTCTAACAGTTTAACAAATTAGGCTTCCTGTGTAATGGATTAGACCTTACTTTCTGTTTTAATCGATTATCAAACTTATGTAATCGATCATATTGATACTTAGCGTCATTAGTCATCCATTTTCCTTTCTTAACATATTATGTTACTTATATAACAGATTATGGCTTTCTCTCTATTTTAATCGGTTATTTAACTTATATAATCGATTATAATAGAGTGATTTGCCCTTGCTTAACTTTCTAAGTGTTCTAGCTAAATATAACAGATTATACAACTTATGTAATCGATTATTTATAGAAAAAACTGGATTTCTAATCTATTTTAGGCTTGATTCACTCATCACGAATGGATTTAAACATCTAGCACTAACATGTTAAAGATATAAGCATTTGTTATGCCATTTTGTTGTGCAAGAAACCATTATTAATCATTTAACCTATTCATAATCAAAAACTAAGATGTAAAGAAGCTAAGCTCCTTATCAACACAAGGAAACCATTGCTTTTGTAAATCTTCCAAACCATGCTCCAGGGCATTGCTTAAGATCATACAATACTCTATTTAGGAGGCATACCTTGTTTCTTTCATTTTTCACTTTAAAACCTGGGGGAATCGCCATGTACACTTCCTCTTCTAGATTTCCATGAAATTTTTCACATCCAATTGGTGTAAGTCCCAACCAAAATGAGCAGCCAATGCGAGAACAATTCGAACTGTATTAATCTTTGCCACTGGGGCAAACATCTCGTTATAGTTAATCCCATAAGTTTGGGTATAACCTTTTTTCACCAATCTAGCTTTATATCTTTCTATTATTTCAACTCTCTTATGTTTCACTATGAATATTCATCTACACCCTACTTCCTTCTTGTCTCTTGGCTTATCAATAATCTCCCAAGTTGAATTTCTTTCTAATGCATTCATATATTCTTTCATGGCTTGAGTCCAATGTTTAAGTTTCATGGCCTCTTGGATTGGGGTAAGAATTTATGTGGTAGGTAGTAATAAAGCTTTTATGCTTATCAGAGAGATTGTTAGTGCAAACATACCAAGAAATAGGATATTTAGCACATGATCTTCTTTCCTTTCTCAATGCAATGCGTAAATCCTCAGTAGTACTTACCTCCTCACTGTTATCTTCAGGGATCCTCACCTTTAGACAATTTTTCTTGTTTGAGAATCAAAGTGGATTGCTTTCTTCTTTCATATATTTTCCAAAACAATTTGTCTTCTTTCTCACTGTTGACTATGGTAGCTTCATTGCTCAGATCTTGGGCATTTCGCATTGACAAATATGGTAATGACAAGAAGGAGAGCCCATCCACTTCAAGTGCTTTCTCCTCCTAATGTGGTGGACTGGCATAAAAGGATTGTGTTTTATGAAATATGGCATCCATGGTGATAAAGACGCACGACTATGACGATGATAAACATTTGTACCTTTTTTTATTAGAAGGAT